TAGTGTTTGCGTGACGTTGACTCCTACTATAATATGGCTTACAACGGACCCTTTTCTGGTGGCTTCCATTTTAAGGATCCTGTTGGATGTTGCATTGGCTTTGTCTCGCCCCGTTCTCGGCTGGCCGTCATTCTCTTTGCCCAGGCCCCGGTGAGCACATGGAGCCACGCGAGAAAAGGTATCCTGCCATTCTCCATTGTTTCGATCCTTTCGGGGCTCTACTTGGGCCTGATGGGACTTAGTGACTACAGTTATCAGTACCTTAACTGGGGTTCGAACTAATACTATAAGTACGTTATATATACGCCTAATTACTAAGTCCCATCACCATTCAAACAGGCTGCTATAGGCACACCCGTCTCAGTTCGCCATAAGCCACCAATCCGATGTAAAAGGCATGCCCAGGGAGCCCAATAATATAGGGGCCTTAATAATTAGAATACGGTTTTGGGGCTCACTATACTATATCTATTATAATAAGAAAACCCCACCATAGTATTGGTAATTAAAGCCCGTAGAGTACGTTAAGCCACGATGCGGCTAACTTTCAAATTCATGGTCCTTTTTGGGGGAACTCGATATAATTCCACTCTTACTTACTACCCCCCAAAAAGTCACAGAAATAACAGGTTAAACTGTCCGGTTCCTGCCAAACTATAAGAACCCCAAAAGCTTAAAGGTTGGGTATTGGTGATCTAAAGTAGAACCCTACTCTTAATACGGCACTGCATAGTTTGGGACCCACAAGGCGCCTTAGTTGTGACAGGTACCCATATGGGCGGTTGTCAAAATCATGGTCCCTTTTTTTGGTACCCTAAATAATAGGTGACGTATTATAATAGGGACCCAAAAAGGGATCATGATTGTGACAACCACCCGTATATGTGGAGCACGGTTCAGGGCTTAGCGCGGAATAGGGTCTTGGGGCCCATTATACTATAACTATATAGAGGACCCGCCCCCCCCCCCCCAAAAAAAAATGGTATAGGTAATTGCTAAGGCCTCTATATTACGTTAAGGCATGTTGAATCACTTAATCTGCGATCGCTAACCCGAGATCCTAAAACCCGTAATCGGGCTTCTAGGGCCACATTGGCATGCCCACAGGGCAGAGCATCACATGATCTGGCAACTGAATCCCCCAAGGGTCCATCCAAGGTTCCATGTACCCACATTTTATGCTAAAAGTACCAGTATAAGAGTCCTTTTACAACAATGATGTCGTCCCAACGTGCTCGGACCCTTAAGCGTTACGCAGCGGCGCGGTTGCATGCAGTCAAAACAGCTGCTCGTAACCAGTAGCCCCAAACCCTGATAAACATAGTCAGCTATGACTCTATGACCCCTAAAGAGTTTTTAAGAAGACGGTAGAAGCCAAAAGCACTAGGCAGCCAGAGCCGTACGGTTGATGATGATGATGATGATGGCATATATATATATATATATATATATATTATGTATATATACTGCTTTACCCATAATACCGCATATACCATTTCCTATAGTTTAGGGTCCTTCAAGTAATGCAGGATTCGTATCCCTAAATCCTAAACCTTAAAACCCTATAGATCCCTTAAAAGAACCCTGTAAAGGTACCCTCGTAGATCCCTTTAAAAGGAACCCAGGATTCGTATCATCAACCCATAGGTAACGCCCACTCGGCCTCGATTCGGGGGAGGAAGAGCAAGTCGTACTTGGAGAGCTCTAAGCCTCGGACTGTCAGGCCTACTTAAAAGGATCCATAATAAGGATCTTACAGGGGGTCCCTTATGAGTACTATACGGGCTCCATGCTCAGGATTTACTGAAAGGTTCATGGGGCTTCGAAAACTATTTTCTGATGGGCTCTTCTCCAACTGCAGAACAGCTAGGATTCCTTAGCAGGATGAGCCTGTGGTTAGGACCTCTGCAGGAAAGAAGTCTCTTAGGTGAAGTACCTCTGACTGAAGCCCCAACCATCTTGTGCAGGCGTGAGAGATGGGAGCTACCATTGCTGGCCCATACAGTGAAGATAAGAGGAGCACTTCATCGCAATCGAAGCGGATCGAGGTCTAACCTCTTGAGTGACATGGCTTTCTCACGAACCTTGCGATAATTCGGCATGATACTTGGAAAAGCGGTCCACTGTCTTCTGCAGCTTCGAGCGCCCATAATGCCCTCCAACCGAGTGGAGGGCAGATCCATCTGTTCACCAGAGTTCTCCAACCTCTCATACAAGAGCTCTGTCAACCTTGCAAAGTTTCGGATAAAACTCACGGTTCCCGAAAGAAAGGCCATATGCTCTTGCCGCTTGGAGTTGGAAATGGGAGTGTGTTGAGCGTTACAACTCAATAATGAGCGTGGAAGTGAGAAGCTTTGACTCCTCCAGTGCTGGTTGCCCGTTTATGACATTGACTCCTGAAAAGTCTTTGTCGCGATCTGAACTCAACGCAGCTGTGTCCTCCTTCAAGTATAAACCGGGCTTAGGTTTTAAGGTTGCCCCAAATCACAAAAGAGCTGCTACGGTTGATGATATAAATCCTGCATTACCTTAAGAACCCTAAACTATGGGAATTATGGTGTATTCCTTATTCTGGGTCATGCAGGATGTATATCATCAACCGTATCAGCCCTGCTCACAAACACACGTTGATGCACCAAATCTGAGTTTTGACGACTCCAGACTTCAGCCCCAGTACTTCAGGAATCGACCTTGAAACAGGATATTGGGTCCTCTGTGATGTCAAGTGTACTCCCAATTAATTACAGGGGTACTCTTAACCCTAAACCCCAAACCTACTGGGCTCTCTGCGAACCCCTAAACCACCAAAACAGAAGCTCAAAACTAAGAGCACCATCGGGTATGCTACACTTTAGTCATTGCTCGGGACTACAAGGGAATACTGGTAGTAACTGCTAAAGCCCCAATGTGCTAAACCCCCGATCTCGGTGCCCAGCTCAGAGTCATGGTGAAACTCCTCAGTGCGGAGTTTCGCTCTTCGTTGCGTTTATTTTGAGCGTTTAGGTGTCCTTTACTCCGTTCTGTCTGTAAGGGCTCGTTAAGACGATTCGACAGGTTTGTAGTTTCGGGTTTTAGGGCTCAAAAACTTAGAAATACTTAGGGTTTAGGATTTAGTGTTTTGAAATAATGCGCGCGCATGGAATGGGACTTCGGCTTAGAAGTGTGCAGGTTCGGTTTTTGTTTGGTTCCGTGCTTGGTCCTTGAGGATCAAATGACCCTAAGAGCAAGAGGCTCGTTGCCCTGAGACTGTGAATCTCTGTATGGTAACTAAGCCTGAGACCGATGGGATAAGCTTCACCTGCTCTCCCCGCTCCAATACTACATGATGGGCCGCTGGGCTAACTAAGATGTGGTTGGTAACTGGAGACCTGCCATGTGAGTAACTGGAGCCCGCCGGTATCATGAGGTTGATTTCACCCGGCAGCAAGAGAAGGTGACTACGTACAGCGGAGGCCTTGGCAATAAGAATAGAGTTTTGGATATATGGCACTGTATCCATATGCGGACCAACCCGAAACCCTAAACCCTGAACCAAAACCCTAAACCCGAAACCCCAACTTGCTCCGACCCCTGTGGTAAGGGATCTGAGATGTGTGGAGGACCTGCGAAGCACACAACCGTCCTCGATACGGCCTTATATACCTTCAAAAGGGGCTGTAAGGGTTTCTTGAAAGGGTTTCTTTAAAGGGTTCTACAGGTGCGGCTACTACAATGGGTACTATGGGTGACAAGCTAGTTTAGGGTCCTGAACTATGAGTTCAGGGTTTTGGGGACAGGAGCCCGATTGAATAGTGTTAGTAGTTTAGGTTTTACGGAGTTTAGTATTCGGGAGCCTACACTACACACTCCTGCTGGGGCCAGAACTCGACATCTTGATTGTGGATCGTGAGCTCGTAGTCGTTGCGGTTTGGATCAAAGTGTGGAGACAAACTGCCCTGGCAGCAGATTCTCAGAAGCACAAAAGCCTAAATGAGAGTTTCAGAAAGTTTGGACCCTACATCCTAAACCCTAAACCCCTAAACCCTGAACCCCTAAACCCTAAAACCCTAAACCCTAAACCCCGAAGCCCTAAACCCTGAACCGGGCATCTCCCCGGGGGGGGGGGGGTCAGTTTCAGTTTCAGTTGAATTTCAAGTTCAGTTCAGTATCAATACAATATGTTTCCCGGGTGGGGGCAGATTCAGTTCAGCTCCCGGTGCAGTTCAGTATCAGTGCAAAATTTTCCCAGGTAGGGGGGCAGTTTCAGTTTCAGTTCAGTTTCAGTGGAGATCGTCATGAAAACCCAGAAGCATAAACCCCTAAATCCTGCACCCACCCTGCCCTGCCCTCGCTACCCTACCCTACCCTAACCCTACCCTGCCCTATCCTACCCTACCGAACACTCGACCCTACCCTACCCTACTTGCACCGAAGCCTACCCCACACCCTATGGCTTAGGGTTTGGGGTTCCTCCATTGACTTCACTTCGGTGTCGACAGGGATCCTTTCATGAGCTTAAAGGAACCCTACGTCCTTCGCCAGCGTGGTGCTTACACGGGGCCTTTTTATCCGAATGATACTTAAAGGCTCATGGGACTTAGTAATTAGGGTTCTAAAAAAGGGTGTCTACACAGAAGATTAGATAACACCCCAGTTCAGGTACTTATAACTGTGCTAACGAAGTCCCAGAAACCTCCGAGCTGGGATTCCGAAAGCCAATACCTTGGCCGGTTTTAAAAGGCCTGTGGTTTGGCACCTATATATGGAGTACTGTTATAGTAGGCTAATAGTAAATCATATAAAAAGAATATTTAAATATTCTTTTAAATATTTCTTTTTTTATAAAAGAATATTTTAAAATATTTCTAAATATTCTTTCCAAAATTCAAGAATATTGTGAAATATTCTTTAAATATTTAAATATTTATCGAAAATATACGAATAATTTCTTGAGGAATCTAGGCACTTGACAAAGCTGTCCCACTACTTTTTCTCAAGATCTGCGCAGACGTCGCAGGTCCCTAGTCTCGGTTCTTGGCACGCTTCGCAAGCCTTGCCTCTAAGGGAGTGAGAGCTTTACGAGTCTCCCTGGGCTCCGGCTTCTGCTCTGAGAGCGCCTCTATGGCGCCGAAGGCTGCCTGTAGATCCTGAGTTCGTTGCTTGATAGTGATATTGAAGGATTGACAGCCCGACGCCCTAAGCCGAACTCACAAACTCGAACTAGCATGCTACTAAGCCCTAAACCGGCATAAAACAATGAAAAGTCGATCTAATAATTAATAAAAACTTTTAGATAACCCATGACCAAGTAACATAACCATAGAACAGGTCATATCGAGTCCGAGACACCTCAGCAGTGGACACCTCAGTCCCGGCATCACGCCAAGAAAGTGCAAGGAAAGCACACTGCATAAGTGCGAGCACGACTGGTAACGCCATAGCATTGCCCGCCAAATCCTGCATTAAGCTTTCGGAAGGGGTCCATGTGGCTTGAAGCTGCCTGCGAATCGCGGCCTGCGGCCCTGTCCCAGAGGCCAAGCTTGCGGACGAGAGCTGCCGGCGAATCTTGTTCGCGGCCTGAGGCCCTGTCTCAGAGGCCAAGCTTGCGGACGAGAGCTGGCGGCGAATCGTGTTCGCGGCCTGAGGCCCTATCCCAGAGGCCAGGCTTGAGGACGAGAGCTGCCTGCGAATCGCGGCTTGAGGCTCAAAGCCTGGTTCGGAGGACTGTGCGCGAATCGCGGCCTGAGGCCCAGAGCCTGGCTCTGATGCCCTGCGAAACGCGGCCTGAGGCCCCAGCTCTTGGACTTGAAGCGACAACTGCTCTTCTTGAAGCTGCTGCAGGAAGGGCAATGATGGGAAGCCTTGATAGAGCAAGGCCTCCCGCCCTAGTAGCAATCGGCTATCATCAGAATCATTGCCTTCGATCCACATGAGCTGTCGCGGCAAGACCGTCGGCGCAACAATGGAGCCCGTATCTTTGTTAATGGATGCATGATGGGCTCGATAGATATTCTGAGAAATATCTCGCATAAGAAGCTCGGGACGTTCTGCTTGCAGATGCGGCAACATATCCTGTTCACGAGGGGTCAAAATCTGGAACCATCTGTTGCCCTGTAGCTTTGCCGGTGGTGCCATTCCCCAACGTCGTTTCAATGATGCGGCGAAATTCATATGTTGATCAACCCAGCCTGCTGACGGTGTAACGATAGGCTTGCCTTCTTTTTCATCTTTTTCTTTCCGAGCTCGCTCTGATGCTCGCTTCTCTTCGCGATTCTGGAGCTCGCGGAGAACTGCCGGATCATCGGCTGGCAGCCACAAATTTGCGGCACATGTCGCAGACCTCAAACATCCGTGCAAGAGTGCACCGAAAGTGGTGAACATCCCGGACAGAGTCCGCGAATGAAAATCCAGCAATATATTATTGTTGGTGCGAACGAGTAGAATAAAGATTCGACGTCGCTTGCACGGCAATCCGAACTCATAAGCATCTGTGAGAACAACTTGTGAATCATATCCGCGACTGCTCGTTTCAGCCTTGAATATGTCTAGATTGCTCTCTCCACCTTCTTTGTTCTCGTCTATGGCATCCACATTCTCGAAAAGTACGATCGCAGGAGGCCTCTCATCTAATAGTCGTAGGAGTCCCTGAAAAGTCTGAGCACTGCCTCCCTTGCTAGTGTCCATTCGTAAGACTGCGGATTTCGGAGCGGTTGTGTTCGCTCTAGACATATCTTTGCAACTCGTGCCTACCACCAAGATGTCAACCGTGGGAATCGGACATTTCTTCTTATGGACAGCACACTCTGCTTCTGCAGAACCCATATCAAGTATGTTCCGGAAGATGCAAACAGGTTCATCCGTGCCCGTGTCTATATCAGGGACGGCATCAGCAGCGGCAGCTTCGCTCGGTTCATTCGCCTGGCTAGAAGCCGCCGACTTTGAGCTTGAGCCTGAGCTTGAGCTAGACTCTGAGCTGTCGTGCTCATCGCCATCGCGCGAGTCTGCATCATTACCATTGCTCGCTTCGTGATCCTCATCCTGGGTGGAACCCGCACACGTGGCCTTGAAATTCTCTTCGATTCTGTTCATCGTGGCATCTGCATGGCGATCGACGGCAGCGATCCAATTCTGCTTCTCGGTATTGCTTTCACAACTATACTTGTGAATCAAGATCTTTGATGTTCCAAAACGTCTTTCATAGATCTTATTCATCGCTTCTGCGCAGAAACGGATCCCTTCAGAACCTGAGCAACATGAAGCCCATGTCAGTGGTCGAGGCGGACACTGAGGCTGAGAGTGACACATGCTCGAACAAGCTTCAAAATTCTCTTCAGCTACGGCCAGCAGCCAGCTACCGTCCTGGAGAGACTCCGCCTGAAGAACTCGAGACTTGGCTTTGGATTTCCATTCCTGCAACTCGCTTGGATCTACCGTCGGCCGCCTCTGCAGCCGTCGAGTTGGAAGCTGATCCATGGCAGGATTCATGGATGCCAAAAACTTTGACTACACGTCTAAGAACTAGTATTAGTATAGTTAAAGCCTGTAATATACAGGCTTCACAAGTATCTTATTCATTTTCAAAATATTCGTAACTACGAATTACGATTATGTTATGAACCATGGCCTGAGCTTATGTATGGCTGTGAGATCAGGGATATAGGCTGAATGCGAAATGCCTACTCCCGAATGCCTGCAGTGAAAGTGTTGTTTGCTTGCGGGTTTGGCTACTAAGTGCAGTTATCGGCTACTCGGTTTCTTTCTGTTAAGAAAAGTGAGCGACGCGAGTATTGTCACACTCAGAATAGACTATATGATTGCAATAATATTTACGATTACGATATCTCGCTCATTATTCCTGTCTCTGACTTTCTCTCTCTCTCTCTCTCTCTCTCTCTCTCTGTCTCTATCGCTCGCTATTTAGATTGTTTAAACAACCATAGTAGGAATGGCTACTTGTGATGGTTTCTCTCTTTCTCTCTCTTTCTCTCTCTCTCTCTCTCTCTCTGCAGAAAGCGTGCATGCAATACGCAACAGCAACATTGCAACACTGACATTGACATTGAGCACGCCGCTTTTCTTCGCTCTGGCGCAGGCGAACTACCGAACTGCATAAAGCAGGTTGAAGCTTCTCAAAAGGACTGGTGACGCGTAGGTCCCCATACCGACGCGGCAGCTCAAGGCAAAATTCAAACTCGCGGTCAGAGACCCTGTTCACTTCTTGCCGCGACCTCGAGCGCCTCGGCCTCGGCCGCCACGGCCAGCAGGAGTTGCGGGCTTACTGGGCGGCTGAATCGGCTTGGTCGCGATCTTATTGTTTGGTGTAATACCAAACATGGACGCCAATCCGATACTTTCATCCAAAGGTCCCCTAGCAAACTTCGCAGCTAGACCAATCATCTTCTCCTCCGCTGGCCGGCGGCCGCTGCTGCTGCCAGCCGTGTTGGAACCTGCAGATTTGTCGCTTTTCTCCTTCTTCTTATCGTCCTTCGAATATTTCTCCTTCTTGGATTTCTTTTCCTTCTTATCCGCCTTTTTTTCCTTCTTGTCATCCTTCTCGTCCTTTGCAGACTTTTTGTCCTTCTTCTCCTGCTTGCTTTCCTTGGCGTCCTTTTCTTTTTTATCCTTCTTCGCCTTGTCTTTCTTCTCTTTGTTCTCTTTCTTCAGGTCCGCAGATTCGTTTCCCGTGTGATGCCCGGCCTTTGCATCCGTGATGCTGGGAACGATTTCCGTTTTTGGCTTTTTTTCTGCCATCTTGTCACCGGAAATCGTGGATCCTTCAGTCGGGTCGGCTTTTCGTTTTGCTGACGGTGCGCTTCCAGGCTCAGGATGATTGGCAGCGGCGGTATTGGGATTGGTATCATCGGTATCCTTCCTGGCAGAAGTCGCAGAATCTACCTGAACCAGAACATCAGAATCAGAATCTTCTCCCTTTTGGGCCTCGGTTGCCTCTGCTCCTTCCTTTGCCTCGGTTGCAGGCTGATCTATCCCAGCAGCTTCAGTCTTCAAATCTTCCTTTTCGGCAGGGGCAGCGGCAGCGATTCCTGATTTGCCTGCCTCCGAGGGCGCGGGCACAGTGCCTGCCTCCGAGGGCGCGGGCACAGTGCCTGCCTCCGAGTGCGTGGGCACAGTGCCTGCCTCCGAGGGCGTGGGCGCAACACCAGCCTCCAAGGGCGTGGGCACGGTGCCAGCCTCCGAGGGCGTGGGCACGGTGCCAGCCTCCGAGGGCGTGGGCACGGTGCCAGCCTCCGAGGGCGCGTGCAAGGCTTGCAACTTCTCGAGGCTCAACACGGGCAGCTTTGCTCGCGACTCGATTGTCTCCCTCCACAGCTTGTCGACTTCGACTGCGAACTTTTTCTTTGTGACGGCTCGCACCTGAAGATCATTGGAGAGAATGGATAAGCAGAAGTATCTATGCTTCTTGATTGAACGAGACTATTTCAGTTACAAATAGATATAACGTGGAAACTGAGGTTGAATCAATATTAGGTCTAAAGTCTATAGTCAATAGTCAATATTAATATTCCATAGAAGAATAGTGGACTAAAATTCTAAAGTTTCAGATCTGTTCCTGAGTGCGGGACTGCATCACCAGCTTCTGCCCAAAGATCGACAAGTACTGCATCCGGCAACCCATCGCAAGGAGGAGTGGCACGAAGGTCTTGTGACAAAAGCGTGTAGACGAGACTCTCTAACTGTTTCGCAGCTTTCTTGGCTGCTTCACCTGTTGTATTCAACGCGGGGTTTCGGAGCATTGTCACACAGGCGAAAAGTGTGACATGGGTCGTCATCAGTTGCGACACACCTCGGGCGATCTTGGCCTTCTGAAGATATCCGTCTCGTTCGGAACAATCTGTAGGCAATGAAAGAGAAGCAACCCTGAATTCGTCAGCCATTATACTCAGTTTCTTGGCATCGCCTGCCATCTTCTGAGATAACTTCCCGAGAGTCTCCCTATAGTGGCCCTCTTGCTTGAACTCAGGCATTTTCAAGACCAGGCCAGAGGCCGCCCTGACTGCCGTGTCCAAGCACCCTGCATGGTCATTACAAATGCTGTTGACCTTTATGGCCAGAAGGCCAATGGCTTTGTCAACCCACTCAAAGGCCGCATCCGAAACGAGCTGGGTAGCCTTCAATTTGTCGCATTCGCTTTTCCCTTCTTCTGCCATTGCACTTTTGAGATCTTGCAGGCTTTGCAAGACTGCGACATGCTCCATTAATGTGAGATTCTTCTTGGCACAATTGCTGCAAGCTTTTGCAACCTGGCAGGGTCCAAAGATTATATAGCCCAGCGATAATACAATCTCCTAAAGTACTGGTAGATGATTGACGAATAAATGATATCGATATCTGATTCTAATCGTGGATCTATAAATGCGACTCAGCCCCCCTCGTAATTCTAGAATGAAAAAGGATGATATAAGCTATGGAAATATATGCTTGCATAGGCACGGGGCAAACTAGATAGACATGCATAGCTGCATAGCTTAGATCGAACAGTAGACAATGTTGACAATGACAATAGACTAGACGTCCAGACTGAAGATGGCTCGTCGGAATTTGTACACATGGAGAGCAAGAGACACCGCGTGCACACACAACACACATTCACGGTTACATAATCAAGACGGTCCAGCCATATATGACAAATAAACGAGATAACATAAGTGTGAAATAAAGAATCCTAGGCTTGATAGATTCTAGTGCGGCTCATCTAATCTGCCCATCCCACTGATTCCTAAATAATGGGTAGAAAGGTTAAATTAAAGTAGGACTATAATACATTGATAACTAGCCTTGAATCTGAATCCGAAAGACAAAAAGACCCCCTGCATATCAAACCATGGGTTATTGTCAGTTATTATTATTGTCTTTTGTTCTAGTTGATTTTTGTTGATAGTAATAGTAATATAATATCAGATATACGCTACAAAAAGCCTTACCACTCGCAAAGTGCAGCAAATCTCAAACAACTGAAAACAACCGTACCTCAAAGAAGCGGGTAAGCACGTGCGACCAATCTCCTGTCTGAGGCAAGGTCAACTTCGCTTGAGATTCGAAGGCCAGGGCAGGATTCATGGACGAAACCAAAACCTCCACACTGGTCAATACTTCGGCATGCACTTTCGATGTTATCTTCCCAACTTCTTCGAAGCAAGACATTGTCTGTTTCTGCAGATCCTCAGCCGCAGCATTAGCAAATACACGTTCGCAATCTTGTAGCACTTGTGCTGAATCCACATAAGGCTTCAAAGATGGAAGTAATCCCTGAGACCAATCCCGCAACATCTCCGGCGTTGGGTATGTCTGCTCAAGATTAGGCAATACATGCCTGGACGCGAACACATACTCCACCAAATGGCATAGTCGGAAAGCCTTGTCAGTATAATCCTTCAGGAGTTCAACAAGATCATCCGGCATCTTGGCATCTACCGCAGCCCAAAAGGGATGGCAACAGAATTCTCTCATGCGGATTGCATCCAAAACCTCGGGAAGTGCCAATTCTAGGTTTTCTGCATCTTCGCTCGGATCTTGGGCAGCTGTTGGCTCTTCCCCTGGCTCTGAGGCCGCCTGATCCGCGTGTTTCATATCCCATTGTTCCAGAAGAACTTCTAGACAACCCGTTAAGGTATTGCAACATTCACTCTGGAAACCATCTCTGACGAAGCCAAAGAATTCCCGTATCATCAAGTCGCAAGTCTGTCGCTGCTTCGCACTGAGTTTGGATTCGTCACGGCCTGAGGCCTTCTTCCAAAATGGCAACAAATGGTCCTCCAAACCTCTGAGCCCCCAAGGCCGATCTAGCCTCTTCAAATCTTGAAACAAATCCGTGAGATTGGCTACTATGAGCTCGCCTTCCAACTGGTTCTGTCCAGACTTCAATCTTGTAGTTGCATCAGCCATCAGGGCCACCCCGGCTACATGTAGCTTCAAGAACGCAAAAATACCGGCAGTTGTTTGGGCATCATCATCGCCATCTTCTTCAGCTGCAGCTAGATCTGAATCGTTGTAACTTTGGACTGCTTCCAAAGCATCAGACAAGCCCCGCAAATCCTCATTCTGCAGAAGACCGAGCAGAATCTGTGCACTTTTGGCCACCTGCTCAAGGAGCGCATGCGATTCTGCGGCTTTTGCAACTGCCGAGCACAAGCTCATGGCTTGCTCACGGCCGAAAGAGCTGGGATCGGCAATATCCTTCATGGGGATCTCCTTCAGGATCCCTGTGAGTTTCGACTCAACCTCTTTCAAGACGAAGTCCTCTATCAATTCATCGGAAACACCAAGATCACGCATACGTTTGACCTGCTCATTCAAGTTGACATTCAAGCAAACCTAGAACATATTCCCCGAATTTATTTAAACTCAAAGACTAAATTTTGAACCCCGTCTATATATATATATATATATAAATATCACTGAAATCTCCGAATCTTCTTCTTCCTAAGATCCTGAACGAATCTAAAACATCGATCTCGAAACCCCTCAGCAACTCTATATTCTACAAACCGTCTAATTTATATAAACTAGTCATATTAGGATTAGCAAATTCAAAGTAATCTTCTTCACACCCTCCTATTATATTGTCTTGCCTCAGGCGCATCGTCCGCGAAACTTTTGCAATACTCTGCGGTGTTGCGATACAACATGAACTCGTTGCATTTGACCTCGAGTAGCCTGAGCCAAATTGCCTCAGAGACTTTGAACATGGGCCTCGCAAAAGATTGCTCCAAATCACGGATAGCCTGTTCCATGTCTTCGGACTTCGGGGTTGCCGAAGCAAGCTCACCATTGAGGACACTGGCTGCGGAGACCACAGAAATCACTTCCTCGACACTCTTCAACTCGTCCATCAACCCTTTCTTGTTGGGGGAGTCCTCCACTTTCTTCTTGAGATTATTCAGGTGGTTCTTGAGGGAAGTAAGAGACTTTCCACGACCGTTGTTGGCCTTCTTGTCGTGCCAGCTGTAGCTCTTGTCAAAAATCATCAGCGGCTCAAGCTTACGCTTATGGTCTTCTAGGGCTTTGGTCACGGTCGTTTTCAAGCGTAGACCTCGTCCATCCATACTCAGCACCATGTTCCCCGACGTGTCTGCCTCCGCGCTAGCAGGAGTTGGCTCCTGCTTGATGGGTACAGTTACATTGCCGTGGCTAGGAGGAGGAATCGGAGTAGACTTGCCCTTCACAGTTGCTGGGCTTGGAAGATCACTGACTCTGGAGCCGCCGGTTGCTGCCTTCGCAACAGCCTTGCCCTTGGCCTTAGCTTTTGCGTTGGCCTTGCGAGTCAATGCCAACCGGTCTGCGACCGCCACATCCTCGTCCGATGAGCTTTTTTCCTGTTCTCCATCTTCTGCGGGGGTTGGAGCGCAAGGGGCAGCCTCAGCAGCAGCAGGCTTTGCGGCAACTGTCGACGTGCTCCCTGGATTCTGGATGAGTGAAAGGATCGAGTCGATATCGAGCGATTGGGGAGCTTTTGCAGTCGCAGCTGAAGCACGTCTCTCCTGGTGGGCTTCATTGAAAGCGGCAGCGATCGCAGTCTGTGCATTCGCCAGGCCCCGTTCATTGAACATCTCCTGGTCACCGGAGTGCTCGATGGTTTCTGAGACAAGACTCCGCTTGTCGTAGTCCCGCACCTTGTAGTGACCACTCAACCCGGTTTGAACAAAGGCACCTTTCACCATCTTGCCAAAGAGATTCCTCTCTTCAACCTTCGACTCGTCCAGAGGCCCGTACTTGTCCGCATCCCAATTCTCTTGGGCTACGAAAAAGGTCTCGGGAGCTTCAAACTCCACACCGGTATCCTTAGTGGTCTTCAGCTTGGTCTGTGCTTTCTTCACTGCCGTCTTCTGAGCCTGGTCCATTCGAGACCGCTGAGGATCTTTGTTGTGACCTTTGATCCATTCAGCTAGTGCGGCCAAAAATTCGTTGTGATCTACCATCTTAGCCTTGATCTTCTCACTGTAGGCTTTGTAGCTGCCGTACTTGACGTGAAGAGCAAGCAACTTGAAGACGTTGAGGCACAAAAGACAAACCTTGCCTTCGGGAACTGAAACGAGGCTGCCGTCCTTGTCTGGAACATTCGATCGATACTTTGCCCAGGGTCGATTGCCTGCCCACTTATCACTTGCAACCGCATCTTGCAGCGGGCTAGGATCTGTGCTTTTGGAATTGCACAGTGAGCAAGTGCACGGTTTGCTCAGATTGAAAACAATCTTACGCTTTGCCCGGACCCGTGCCCTCGCGGACTGCGGCCTTCCCTGGACAGAGTCCGCATCTTCGTTATCCGAATTTGCGAAAAACTCAGTCAACTCTGAATCATCTGCCACACTGCCACTTACGTGACTGGGTACTGCACTCCCCGGCATGGCTTCGCCAATTTGAGTGCCACCTACAAAAGAGACAAAAAGACTACCCAGCAAAAGCCCACACAATTGAAACTATAGGAAACCTTACCTATGGCTCCAAATTACAGAGCTAGGACGTCCATATGATATGTCCGATATGTGACATGAACCTGAACTGTCCGCTGTGCCTAGGCAAGTCTGGTCCCGAACTTGAGAAGCGGCGATCAATGAATGAAACTCGGCGGCAAGTCACAGTCACGGTCTAAGGGTGCTCCACTGCAGTGATGTTGTTACTCCCATGCAGCATGCACCCATGCATGTGTAACCCGCATACCACATTAGATGGCATCTTTTGTCTGCTCAAGACGCACCTACTATAGGGGGCCATTCCTTTGGAATGCCCCCCAGACTGACTTTGGCCCCTCGTTCGGCAAGGGTCTTCTCCTGCATGCCTGCCACATGAGCTCCAGAGCTTTACTACAGAACCTGACTACAGTGATTAGCCTAAGGCCAATAAAGTAATCTAGTGAATTTAAATGCCTTTTGCATGTGCTCTGGTGGCCAATTGCCATCTGGAGAGATTCCGCATGATCTCCCGGCCACACTCCAAGCACGCCTGCCCCTCAATTTTTGTTGCTGCCAGGCAAAATGCCGTTGCCGGCCCACATCAGTAGCCTTCTAGGAAAGAATATGAGGAAATAGTTCGCGGATGAAGTTTGAAGATTTATTTAAAGAAATTAGAAATATTTATTATTATTTAGAGTATTTAGGAAAAAGAAAAAAACATTCTAGAAACAATTGAAAAAAACAAACAATATGAGAAACATACTTTCTCTAACTAAACAACTACTTTCTCTAACTAAACAACTACTTTCTCTAACTAAACCAATACTTTCTCTAACTAAACTTTCTAGATCCCAAATTCTTATAATTTATTAATTTATTTCTAATTATTCTTTATTATTTAATTTATTTTATTATTTATTATTTATTATTTATTTTTTATTTTTTTATTTATTTTGCATATTTATTAGGGATTCACATTATTCAACTATCCACTAAGCCTTCTTACTCGGCCTATTCTTATCTACAAGCGGTTTCACAGACGCACCAGCCTGACTACCCGTGTCGCGGCCCCAACTGGGTGACTCGAGCATCCATCTCCTCTTCGGACATACCGTGCGCAAAGGCCAGCAAACCGACTCCACCGAGGCTTACGTGGTGGGATCGCAACCTGTGCCTCGGAAATTCAGAATCATCCATACCGGCAATGAGCCATCGCTTCAATCTCAAGATGCAATCCGCATTGCTGAGAGTAGTCCCCATACTGACAGCCTTCTTGCACAAGGAATTTTGACCATCGCCCCTATCTTTGTGCATGCCACAAATAGCCCCCCACCCGGAATGGCCGGTTTTGGGTACTATGGGCGATATAATGAACGGCCCCCATGGAATCCCTCGCCTTTGATTCGTTCGATTCGTTCGCCCCTCCGCCCCTCCCGCAACAGGTGGCGGGGGCGGTGGGACTACATCCATAGGGTCTTCGCCTGGCACGGCGGCCGCCGGAGCTGAACCTGAACCTGGCACTGCAACTGGAGGTGGGACTGAAGCTGGAGGTCCAGGGCCTGGGACAACGGCTGGCACTGCGGCTGCTGGAACCAATCCTGGCACTGCGGCCGCAGGTGGGAGTTGCCAGGTGTCGTCTTCATCAGCATCAGCATCAATCTCTGCGATCGCATCATCGCTCAACTCGCCAACATCCTCTTGACCAACATCATCTTCGTCTTCATCAACATCGCTGCCATCGCCATCAGCAACCGCTTCTCCTGCCGCGATATTGCCAACCCTGCGTGCAGCTCTTCCTCGGCCTCGTTCCCGCCCGCGCCTTCCTCTTCCTCTAACCCGCCCACCCCTAGCACGACCTCCTCCACGTCGCTTGCCCTTCTTCCCATACCCGTGTGCAAGCTTCACAGCTCGCAAAGCTCGCTGTTCTTCTTTGAGCTGTTCCGCTTCTGCCAACAAATCAGCCGAATCGAAGCCTTTCCGGTCGATGACATGAAACACACCAGCATCACGACCGATGTCCCCTAACAGCAGCTGACTGGGCCGCCAGTCTCGACCCTGTCGTGCCAGGTGACAACAGATTGCCATGTCATTCCAATGCTTGGCAGCACCAGCTCTGAGAGCGTGTTCTTTGAAGCGCAAATCAAACGGGGGGTTTTCTCCGGGACCACAGTCCCCACAAAGCTCGAAGAAAATCATGTCCATGTCCGGAACATGGGTACGAAATGCCAGTACTGTAGCAAATACTGACCCACAAGCTTCACTCTCCCACAATAGAACGAGCGGGTTGACAGACAAATGGTTTCTGGCCGGGCTGTATCTGCGGACCAATACAGTCGAACCTGTGTGCAAAGTCCGAAAGTCTGAATGCTGGGCATCTGTCAAAGCTGCTGTGCAACCACCTGGTGGGCACACCGCAAACAAATGGCTGCCTTCTGCAAGATGTAGATCATACTCTGGATCTTCCGGGATGGAATTGGCCTCGTCTGCAAACAGCTCAGTCTGGTGAAATTATATACATATACATACATATGATGTATAAAATGAAAATATTCATTCCACTCCCTGCAGAGTTACTTATATCCTGCCAAACAAAGAGTACATACTCATAACAAAACTGGCAACCGAGAGCCACACAACAAAAACCAACGGTAAGTTGCTTTGTTCTGCGAATGATCTGGAAGATTTAATCAATCTAGTCTAATCTGCTTATCCGTGAGTGATTGACAAGTGATTGATTGATTTAGTTATTTAGTTTTCTTCAGGCAGGGCGAAGATGCGATATCCAATGTTCATGAGATAGCAGGGGCCCCATATGAACTATTACATAATCCCTCCTTACCGATTTATAAACGCATATCTGAGATCTGTCCAAGACGTGAAAAGCCTCATGACTTTCGTAGGTATGAAACCTCAATGGATTGAAATAGCATATAATCCGAAAGAGTGCTTATTGCTTCATACAACCACTAACCCATGACCCGGTACTAATATGGACTTCTAACCAACACTCATAGTCTAGTATTTCTATTGATTTACTGATTAATCACCAAATGTTGAATTCGAATTCTAATCAGTCTTTTAGTTAATTCGTTACTAATGTATAGTTACTAACGGACGAATCGACCTGAACAATGTAAACTAAACAACAATATTCAGAAATGCTGCCTGCAAGCCTCGGCCCATGCTTTGCATGCCTTGTCGAAAGCATTCGGACCAGACAGGGTTTCTTCCAACGCATCAACAGACAATGGCCAAGTTGACCCACCATCCTTGTCTGGAATGAAAGACAATCCCCATGGTCCTCCTGCCTGCAGTGGCTCCGGTTCGGCATCAGCCTGTGCTTGCTTCAACATATCGGACTGAATGTTCTCTGCCACAGCCTTTCTTCCAAAAGCTTCCTTTGCCTCCTTAGGCAGGGCACGCCACCGAGCTGCACCATCCTTCAAGAAACCTTCGGCCGCCTCGGAACCCTGGATGTGCCTATTCCTCGCTTGCCTCTGCTCCCGGAGAAATATATTGTATCCGGTCTGCCGACTGACCTTGCCAAGCTTGCCGCACCAAGCCGGACGTTGCTTCTTGCTTCCTGGCTTGAAGCCGCTCTTCGTACGCCAGGTAGAAACGGAATCGCTGAAGCTTCGTGTGAAATGTTTTGCAGCGACAAGCTGAATTGATGAAGGTATCCAATTATTCAAATTGGCAAACTTCCGTTCGATGAACGTCGAAGTCAAAACTACTCTCGAAAAAATGGTCTCAAGAAACTCACGTTGCTCTTCATCTATCAATTCTTCCCAGGTCAGTGACCGCAACCGACCAGAGAACCCGGGATCGCAACAGCAACTCTCAGCAGCCCTCAATTGCCGTGCACAATCCTCCCGCTGCTCTGTTGAGATTCGCGTGCGACCATCAGCTTTCAGAGAACCACAAAGAGGCCACACACGCCATGGATATTCCAAAAAAGGTTCGACGAGCTTCCGAACTAGCTGGCCCATAGTCACCAAGACGGCCAACCGAAAGGCTCGCTTGCGGGGCTGCGACCAAGTGTCGAAGCGACCATAGAAAAATCCCATGGTGGGGAGGCTTTCGTCCGGACGGAGCAAAAGCTTCATTAGCTCCTCGACGACTCGCAAGGCTGGATTATCGACCGGCTCACAGAATGCGGCGATTTGATGGGTCTTACTCTTCGCATGTTCCTCAATGTCCGGATCTGGTCTATCACTAAACCATGTAGCATTCCGAAACAATGACCAATGAAGAGTCATGACGGGAGAGGCAATATGCACCCACACCATGTTCACGAAACCACATTCCTTGTCTGTCAGAAACATCATGGCTTTCTTGTTTCGTTTCCGTGCCAATTTCCTCCACTTCTTGATTTCGTTCACCGGCACCTCGAGCGCACGATCCTCGTCACGGTCATCAGATTGGGATTCTTCCTGCTCAGAGAGCGCACCGAACATGGACTTAAAGCCTTCAATAGCCAAACCATGAAAGTGAGCCAAAAGAGTCACTGCCCCAGTGCACGGGAACACCTTCGTCCACTTATTCAGTGCTGGTACCGAGACCGCCCGGATCAAGGACTCTTGAATAAGTTTCTTGGCCTTCGTGATGCTCTCCTGCCGGTTCGCGCAGCAACCAGGACGGCAAACATGAACGAGTGGTCCTGGCAGGATCCGAATCACAGCATTATTCAAGAATATTCATTCATCAAGAGAAGATCGAGGGCGGAAGTGGTTCTTCTGTAACATATTGCTAACTCGGTATTTGGTTGGGGTATGGTATGATTTGGACAAAGTAGGAGGACGTGGAAGATTCGGATATTTGCTTCATGCTTCGGATCTTTCAGTTCATCTATCAATGGCTATCAATTGAAGGTACCTCTGTTGCGACCATGAACTGGATTGGCATGGCTTGGGATCTATCCTACCCTGCCTGAGTGCAAAGGGAACAAAGAGTTAATGATATCAGCGAGCATACCGATTCTTGCGGGACAAAGTTGCTGCCTGCTACCAAGTAGTAAATTATCTAGCTCATTGGATACTGTTCTACAAGAATATCCGGACTCAACTATTCAATTATGAATCTGAAAGCCTCAACTATAGCACTCTGAGCTTTTTTTCCCGGTGCGGCTCGCACCGTCTCGAGTCTCTTAGCCATCGGATGAGCTTGCTCCCATGGAGCGAGCAGGCTCACAATTGCAGGCAGCTCCTAGCAGAAGGCCAGCTGTGCCTAGGCCATCGTGGCCTGAGGCCCCGTCCCTACTCATTCGATCAGTCTGTCAATATTGAACTTGTGGTTACTTAATAATACAGCATTCAGAAATTCAGAATACAGTTATGAATCCCGCTGGGGCGGCTAGGAGCTGCCTGCTGATCAAATTGCACAAAAGCAGTGAAGGTGGAATCAAAAGATCCTCCCTCTGGCCAGAGGCCGCCTTAGTGCTGGCCGCGATAGTAGTCCCAACCATGGTCAGGATTCGTCCTCGGTGGACTAAGAATATTGACGACTCGAATACCCGACGGAAACTGACTATCTATCTATCTATAGTATCTCTATCTGGGCCGACATATACAGATATCATTATTTTGAGCTCGGAATAATTTTTAAATAATACCCAACTACGACCTTCAGTCGTTAAGAATTATAGGTTAAATTCTAGCACCGAATGACAAACGTGACCTAAATGAAGTATCCCTATGGCCAGCGATAGAAGGCTACCCTAAAAAACCTAATCTTCTCGTTTCTACCAGCTCAATTCTCTATTCACTAAATAGATATAAAATGAGAATCAGTTACGACCATGTCAATATATAGCCCTATACTAAATATGAAATAACAAAACTGTATCTTATTACTTATTACTTGGTCTACTTCAGGACAAGGTCCTCTTCACATTGATTTGGGCACTTAGAATAAGCAAACCAAAATAGAAAATTATATTGAATATGAAATCCAAGCACCGGCGCCACCACTCTCTGTCTTCGTGGCTCGGAGGGGGGGTGTTCGAGGAAGCCTCCCACCATCGGAGATAGCTCGCAATCTCCCCGTTGCAACGCAACGCAACGTCCAATTGCGTGCGGCCCTCAGTAGCTATAGGCTCTATAGACTCAATAAGTGATAATTTTTTCAATCTCCTCTCTAGCGATTCATCTACTGACTCCACTGCTGTCTTTGAACAAAATATTTAAGTTGCAATAACCGAATAGGCCTACCATATCTGTCCACTCAGCCCCTGGCCATCTGGTTCTGCATCTTCAGGTGAGACACCACAAGCGTCTTGGAGCCGATCTCGTCCATCCTCCAAAGGATCTTCTTCACCATCGGGAGATTCCCACGGGCAACCGCCATATGTGTCGCTGTGGCATAGGTGCCTGAGCGAGTATTGAATCCGTCGGCTGTCATGCTGGCACAAAGCAGGCCCACCACGTACAAATCCGTCTCAGCCGGAGCCTTGTCAGCAAGAATCATCAGCGGAGTCCATCCCGGAGGATTCCGTCGAAGGCTTGTGGCTACATTCGCCAGTTCGGGCACCTTCTGCAGGAGAGTACAGATGACTTCTCGGTCACCGACCCGAACAGCATGATGCAAGCACGTCATGCCTGCGAGATCTTTGGCATCCCGCAAATCTTGGGGACGAAGCGATCCAATGACCCGGAGAGACTCCGCTTGGTTGCCACTCATGATCGTCTCCAAAAGCGAATCCACCATTCGTTGCTGGTCTGCTTCTGCCTGCTTCAGTGCGGTCTCATCCAGAAGCTTTTGCAAGAAGTTTTGCTGCTCAGACATCAAGTCGAGAAGTCGGGTGACCTCTTCGCCAGCAACGGATCCGGATGCGGCTTGGGCTTGGCCTTCGCCAGGCAACTCAGACGTCTCATCAAGCAAATCCACGGGCCTGTCTTCCTCCTCTTCTTCTTCCTCTTCATCATCATCTGCAGCCCAATCTGGAACAAAGTTTTCCATAGTGCCCTGGCCCGAGGCCGCAGATCCTCGTGGGCTCTGTTGCGGGGTCGCGAGCACATCCTTGATGCGAGCATCGAGGGCACTCAAGGTGGAGACCATCGCACGGAGTTTGGCCATATGACCAGCCCTCACATCGTCGGAATCTGGTCCCATGACCGCTTCTTCCATCGATCTGGTCGGCTTCCATTCTAGGGAACCTTCCCGACTCGTGTCAGATTCGGTCTTGGCAGAGTCCTTCTCCTTCAAGGACTCGGCTGCACTCTGCGGCTCATTGCCCAAAGAGCCGGGATCCTCCTGCTGCTGGTTCTCCATCTCCTGATCATTGTCCCGGCCCGCTCCATCTTCCATCTCTTCATCGTGCTTGGGCCCCACCTCTGGCACCGACGAAAGCCCGGCCGGAGGCCCTGCCCGGTGCGACACCGCCGATCTGCCAGAACACTTGGAAAGCGATGCCTTTTCCCAATCCGACATATCGGAGGAGTGCTCGTTGCCCGAGGTTTCGACCTCCGTGCAGCTGATCTCTGACGGCAGATTTTGCCAGGATGCCTCAGCTAGAACAGAAAAAACCGACTGCGATAATCAAGTATGCAATACTGCAGTACTGAATATAGCAATATATTAGTCAAAGGGATCACTTAATAGCCGGGGAGCATCAGAAACCACCTGGTCCTTGGAGACCGCTGGAGCATTCTCGATCATACGCCGCTTCCGTGCCGCCTATTCACATCTCTCGAACGTAGCATAACCATATGTACTTATATGATTTAGACAAAGACGACATTTCGTACTTACTAAATACTAAACAACAGAATAAAAACTCACAACTTATAACTTATAACTATATACCACGATACTATGTCTATGCAGTCTATGCAGCCTACGCAAGTCCGCCAAAAACCAGAATCCGACACACAGACTTTGCATTCCTGCCTCCGGCACCTGGCTTGGGGGCGGACACTCAGGCGACGCACTCCCCTGGCTAGAAGCCGCAGACGAATCCGATGTCGACGTTGCTCTAGCCTTTTTGGCACTGCTGGGCATGGGCTTGGGAGATGGCCTTGCTTTCGGTCTGGAACCATGAACCTGAAATTGCTCCTGCAAGAGACAGCATCGTCCGAGTTGGCAATATCAATATCAGATTCAGGTTCATAGTTAAAAATTAAAACCAACGACTTTCAAAAGATCTGACTCAAGTCAATCCCAGTCCTGGTACCCGAACTCTATAGCCATATCTCGGAACGCACTCGGCGAGATGATCTTGTTCAACTCAAGCGGCCAATCGTTGAACACCTCACGCCCATGGTCCAAGACCTCTTGCTCCACGTCCCTCAGCCATTGCAACGGCATCGGACCTTGCGGCTTGTTTGGTGACTTCGGCTTCGGCGGGTAGGAGGCAAGATCCACGATGTTCCTGAGGGCAACCAGGTAGTTGTGTGCTTCATCAGCCCCGCAGCCAGTTGTGAAGACTAGGAACAGAGCGAGGAGCAAACTGCTTCTGTGAGCGCCATTCTTACAGCTGACAAGAATCTTGCCGCCGCTGTTCAATATCTTCACCATCTTGCGAAACGTCTTGAGCACGTCCTTGAGCGAAACCGTGCCAGTAGTAACACCTGTTCCGTCCCAACATCCGAGGAATTCGACATTTGGATCCATGGCCACTGGTGGCCTCGACGCCGCAGCGAGCACCGCAGATATCCCGTTCTCATGGAGCACACTGACCTGGCCCGAGGCCGCAATGCCGCCGAGCCAGAGTTCGCCCCCCGTGGACGGGGCACTGAGAACAAGGTGCATGCAATGCCTGGCCACAGCAGTCAATAGGAGATTAAAGAAATTACAATCCAAGGGATCAAATCTACAATCTCGCACCGTACCTATCTTTCTACCCCAATGTGAGCCTATGCCTATTAACTAAACTATACTCAAGATTAAATGGTAAATATGAAACAAGAATAGTTCTAATTTCTAATTCTTGAACTATTCTGATTCTATTTTTTACAGAGGTCTGTCCTGGCCTCGCGTTATAGGCATCCCGTGCCATCCGCACGGTGTGAACAGCGCCATATGAATCACTGACCAAATACTGACGGAGCTCATTCATGGCAGCATGCACTGCCTGCTGATCTGACGGCCCGAATAACTTGTTCAAAATCATCATTCGAGAATCGCATGGAGCGAGACTACTATGCACGGGCGCCATGACGCAGACCTGCTACAGAGAGCGCCGAAGGCTACTTCTCTGCTGAACTGCTACACTGAAATTGAAATCTCCCAGGGCTTCACTCGAGCCCAAATCTCTGAAATCTGAGGATCATCCTATATGTATCCCCCGATTTGAAGAATAGAATACAACCTAAATAGACTGGCCAATGACGGACGATTCAGCCTGCAGATCCGATTACAGGCTACTTCGACCATCAGTATAGACAGGACTCCGAACCCAGAAATGCAGCCCAAAGAACCAAAGAACGACAATCAATATCAATAACGCATAATCCTAAAACCAATCTAATCATATCATGATCGATGACGAAAATTTATAATCGATAATTATCATTATTATTACATGAACCGAATCAAAAAACGAATCCCGTAATTATTAAATCAAATTCCCACGACCCGGCATTCGGTCCTGTCCAAGGACCATCAAAGAACTCCAGGAGCTGGTTGAAAGCTTGACGAACGCTTCCTGGGCGGGCAGGCTCGGGGGAATCTTCATCGAAACTCAAGCAAAGATCCACGAGCTGTTTGGCTTGTTGCTTGCCATCTGCCCAATCCTCCTGAACTGCAGCTGGCACCTGGTCCAAGACCGCTAAATCTTTCTCAACCTTCGCCGAAATCCGTTTTCTCAAACCTCTCAGCAGATTCGCTTTGTTGAGAACCTTCGCAACAGAAAAGTTGCCGCCGAGATTTCCCAGGAGCTTCGTGAGTTGCTCGATCACGTTTCCTGTGCGGTGTTGAATACATAGGTTCGGCAGAAATAAATGATTCGGTGGCAACTGTTGCTCCCAGAAGCGTAGCATTCGTAAATTTGCAGCATGAGCATCGCAAGTTGTAATGGTGGCAATACGATCCGAATCCTGACAAGTGTTATTGAAACCTCCGGGATCTTTGCTCAACGCTTCGTGCATGGTCACAGAGTTCATAACAGGCACCAGAATCTGAGGCGATCGGATAATGTGTTGATCCTGGATAGTATCCGCACCCCGTGTCTTGTAAGTCCACTGTCCATGCGAACATAAAACTGACCAATTCAAATTGGAAGATTCCTTGACCTTGCCACTAGAAGATAACTCCAGTGATGATTCGTCGAACATTATGTTCCGCACCAAGATCTCACAACCTTCGTTGCACACTCGCTCCGTTCCAAGCTCCTGGCCACGCGCAATTGCTTGCGCCGCGACGAATCTACACCTGCCTGCGTGCGATATACCAGCACCATCGACCGCGGCACCCGCATCTCTACGACTACTCATTTCCGAACCGAAACCAGCTCGCAAAATAGCTTCAGGGGACCATGTTTTCCATTGACCCTTGCCCTTGATAAACTTCCTTTTCAATCCACCGGCTTGAGAAGGAAAATGGAAATCCTGGTTACGAGACCGCCCGCTCTGATTGAATCGACTTACTTGCAGATCAACCAAGCTTGCACGTCTTCGTTGGGACTTCTTCCTCTTCTGGATCCCAACCTGTTGTTGTCTCAACCCCCGACCAAGTCGGCGCCTTGCGGCTCTGGCCCTATTTGGCCTTGCGACCCCATTTCCTCCAGCCCCTGGATTGGCCGCTGGCTGAGCTTGCCCTCCTGGCCCGAGGCCGCCAACTCCCTCTTCGACCTGATCATCGCCAGCATCATTCAAGATGTTGAGAACCTCATCTAGATGTAAAGCCTGTAAAGAAGCCATGGCTCAAATAATCAATGATTCCCTTATACCTCTTTCTGAAGTCCTATCGGCCTATGACTCATAGGCTATGAGTCCCTATAATACAGATACTGATATCAAGTTTTATACTCTAGGACGAACCCTCTGATCTTGTAGCAGGAATTGAGCCGCATGCACAATCAATCTCAAGGTTCGTAAAAGCATCTAACAACCCTGTATATATATCATATATAGAAATTGAATTATCCTAAAGGATGAATTTTTCTTTTTTAAATTATTATATATTTTCTGAAATAATTGAAAAGAATATTTTAAAATATTTAAAATATTTCGAAAGAATATTGAGAAATATTTATTTATATTTTAAACCTTTATGAGATATAGTAAGTTTCTGAAATAGTTGAAATATTGAATTTCTCCTATGGGGGTTCCCACAGGCCTTCTTAAAACCGGTCAACCAATACCATCAACCCAAAGCCCTCCCTCCCTCCATGCATTTGGCGGGATCTCCTCCCCATATAAAACATACTCCCCCAATATGCCACAGAAATAGAAGGTTAAACTTTCCGATTCCTACTAAACTATAAGAACCCAAAAAGTTTAAAGGTTAGGCATTGGGGATCTAAGAAAATGTCTTGATCACAGAGCACTATTCTTGAGCTATGACACAGACCTCGTAATGATGGTTAGGACTTGTAACCTCCGCATAAACTCTCTAAAACTCCAATAAAACCACATGAGGCCCCGTTAAAGCCCTCTTCCCCGCCGCAGAGAAGGAGATGTACTTGAGCTTCAGCCAGTACTTGTCCTCGGTCATCGAGCATCCCTTTTCAGTCTCCATTTAGGTTTCGGGTTGGTTTACGGTATAGGGTTTACGGTTTAGGGTTTAGGGTTTAGTGTCCTTGAAACGGGTGCCTGAAAGGTTGCATAACGAAGTTTGTGATCTTCGGGTTTGTATAGTTTTCAGGCTTTAGGTTCCGGGGTTATGGTCCAGGTGAAGGGTCACAGATTTGGGGTTTCGCCCAAGTTCTGGCTGCTGTGCGCTTTTCGTCGATGGGCAGACGGCCTGACCCTCAAACCGGTTTAGGGCTTCCCAAACCCTACTAAACCCTAAATACCCAGACCCCCGGGAGGATCTAGAAAGTAGATCCCGTAATTTGGGGCCCTATACTACTAAGGGTACTTTACAGGAACCCGCATTAAGGGATCTACTTTTTGGATCCTCCCGGGGGTCCGGGTAGTAAATTCAGGTTGGATAAGTTCGAGAGTCGAAGTGGGTGATTGGTTTTGTGCCGTTTCGGGTCTGAAGTTTAGGGTGCAGGCTCGGGTCTTTAGCTTCAGGTCCGGGGTCTTCCCTTCAAGTATAGGTATGTAGATCAGGGCTTTTCAATCCTATTATATAATTAATGTTTAAAACTTAAAATCTAATATCCATTGTCGCGGACACACTGACAATGGATACTGGACATACCGCAAACCGCAACCCTCGCCAAGAACATAGAATGGCGCGAGCCGGATCATCGCGTTCGCGGCTCGCCAGGTATAACGCAGGACGTCGTCTGCTTGGAGGTTCATGGGACTTAGAAAGGTACAGTTATAAGTACCTTATCTGGGGTTATAACTAGTTATAAGTATAGCTACCTTAATTACAACCCTAGTTACTAAGTCCCATGGACCTCTAAGTGGGCCTTCGAGAAGATCTCTTGGCGACACAATAGTCGATGCATGCCTTCTGCCTGGGTCTTCACTTATTACCCTGGCCCTAAACCTTAAACCCTTATTCCTTGGCACCGACTCCTTGAGCAACTTGACCCCTGCTGGGATATGGAGCCGAAGTGCATCGAGCCCCTAAGCACCCATAAACCCTAAACCCTGAACCCTAAACCTCTAAACCCTAAACCGTTGAAACCCCGAAATCCCCCCAACCCCAAGCGCTGGAGCTAATGCTCGACAGCGCCATATGCACCCCATGGGATTCTTCAAAACCCCAAACCCTACCTTGGGATCCCCAAAACTACCGTGTTAAGGGTTCTACCCTCTAATTAAGGGGAATCATAACCTACTATTTTGTAGGGTTTGGGGATACAGGTATACTCTACGAAGCCATTTAAAACGTAACAGATTCTGCCAAAAAGCCTGAAGTCTCGAACCGTACCCCGAACTTTAAACCCTAAACTTAAACCCTGAAACCGTGAACCCAAAGCCCCATCCTTACTACCCCAATAAGCCACAGAAATAGAAGGTTAAACTTTCCGATTCCTACTAAACTATAAGAACCCAAAAAGTTGAAAGGTTGGGTATTGGGGATCTAAGGTAAGATCCCTTAAAGGAACCCTTACAGATCCCCTTAAAGGAACCCTATAGAACCCAAAGCCCCATCAGATTCTTCAACCTGGAACCCGACAGGGTTTAGGGTTAAGGGTTACTTGGAGGTTCATGGGACTTAGGAACTAGGGGTATAAACAAGGAAACTATAGACTTATAGTCCCCAGTTAAGGTACTTAGAACTGTACTTACTAAGTCCCATGAACCTCCAAGTAACCCTCAAATTGGCAGGGGGGTTTCGGATACCTGGGTAAACCCCAACCCAACCCAACACAAAGCCCGCGACTTCGCCAGGCATTGCCGGCCTCAGTCGCAGGAAGGGTCAAGACGATGATGTTTAAATTTGGGGCCTTACCTGGGGATCCCAACACCTACTGTTTTCAGGGTTATAACCTAGAATTAAGGGGTCATAACCTACAATTTTGTAGTAGTAAGGCTTGGGGATGCAGGTAATAATCAGACGCGGGTTATGGTGTATATTCTACTATAATCATGATAAAGAAACCCCCCCGCAATAGTATAGGTAATCATGTAGGCCCCTCTATTACTTAAAGGATCAAGGGACCAAGTGTGTTTTTAAGGTTTGGCGTTTGGACGACGAAGTTTAACTAACGGATCAGGGAACAAAGTAAGAGTTCCTTAAGGGGGTCTATAAGGGCCTTACAGGCTTCTATAAGGGTGCTATCAGGGGATGATCGGGGGACTTAATAAGGTTATAAGGACCTTAATTGGGGTTACAAGTAATGGTAAGTTTTTGCTGCCTTGCTCTCACTGGCCCAAAACCCAAGGAAATGAACGTTGAAACTTTCCGAATCGACTACCTTGTAAGAACCCCACAAGTTGAAAAGTTGAGTTCACAGCCAATAAGATTCGGGGTTGCAATTGTAGGTTTGTGTTGCCTTGCTTATATGGTAGAAGCCCAAAAGTTGGAAACCCCATTTCCTCAACCCCTAAGAGTAATGTATGGGGAATCCCAGCACTATTTGGCCTTAATCAACTGTATCCCGGTAGAAAGTAGATCCCCTAAATGGGCCCTATACTACCAAGGGTACTTTACAGGAACCCCCCATTAAGGGATCATTTTTTGGATCTTCCTGGGGGTCTGGTTTTCAGCTTTATGGGGTTCAAGTTCACCGTAACCCTAGTTGCCAAGTCCCATGCCGTAAGGGTCCAAGTACCCCAAATAGTAGGGTTTCAAGGTCCAAAAACCATTCAGAGTATGGATTTTGGGACCTAAAACCCTACTATTTGGGTACTTGGACCCTCTGGGATGAACCTCCAAGTCGGGCCAAGACGGTTTAGGGTTCGGGTAGGGCTTCTTTTACCTACTATAGATTGCGCCACTTTAAGCGAAACTCGAAAACTCACTACAGCGGCCTTCACTACTGGACTAGGGGCCTTAGGGTGAATTTTGGTTTAAACTCGTAGAGGGGCTAGAAGGGAATAAGGGTACTACACTCTAAACCCTTACATCCTTAAACCCTAAACCCTGAACCTTTAAACCCTAAACCGCTATAGGGACTAGAAGGGAATAAGGTTACCGATACAGGGATCTTAATGAATTTTCCGAGGTTGGAGACTCTCCAGGGGTTTTGGGGGTTTAAGGTTTGGGGCTTAGGGCTTAAGGTTTAGGGTTTAGGGGTTTAGGGTTCAGGGTTTAGGGGTTTAAGGTTCAGGGTTCAGGGTCGAGGGGTTTAAGGTTTAGGGTTCAGGGTTTAGGGGTTGAGGGGTTTAAGGTTCAGGGTTCAGGGTTTCACGGTTTAAGGTTAGGGTTCAGGGTTTAGGGGTTTAGAGGTTCAGGGTTCAGGGTGCGGCCACCGAACACCTATGTCGTCAGGACAATATTAAGGTTGAACGAACACACCCAAACTGAGTGTGTGTGTGTGTTCTTTCAATCATTTGCCGAAGACGCTTCTATTCTACAAAAGTTGCACCGTGTATACGATTTTAGGGCCTAGGGTTTATGAGGTTTAGGGTTCATCCTGCCAGTCTAAAGAGATAGGGTAAGCTATTTTTTAGGGCCGGAAATGTAAGTATCATTGAGGAAGCCCTGTACTAAACCCATCTTCGACGGTCCTTTCTGCTCTTTAGATCTTCTCGTGCCTTCAATGTTCGCTCCTAGACCCTACCCTACATCTAAGATGCCCAGTAACCTAGGAATCGAAAGGGCTCCCTTTTTGGTATTGGGTAACTTTATAAGGAACCTAAGACTACAAAAAGGGAATAAGGGTGCTACTGGGAATCCTGGACGTAACCGTGTAATTCTCACATGGGCCTGGGCCTGGTTTCCGTTCAATACGGCTTGTGCTGTTTCTGCAGGCGCTTCTGCAACTCTGCAAAAAAAGACATCTGAGGTCTGGAACTTGCGGGGTTTCGAAAATTTGGCAAGGCTCCGCAGATTGGGGCTAGAAGGATAAAACACCCCAAGCCATCTCCGCCTCCAACACGGCTTATTACGTGCTCCCTAGACCACAAACGGCCAGGAATGAACGACTGTTACAGGCCAGCCTCTCAAGTCCCTCGAGGGGACGGTCTTGCCAAATTCTATTGCAGATCTTGTCTGTGCCGGAGCAGTACCCCAAGGCTCCAGGTACCCTTACAGAAGTATACGGCGTATACGGTTCAAGGGTTTAGGGTTTAGGATTTAGCAACCACCGACATCACTGAAGTGTAAGTTTGGAAATCCCTTTGAGGAG